AATAATTAGACTGGTTTTTAGGTCTAATGGTCCATGAATTTTGACATGATTCACATTTTGGTTCATCAACTTCCAAAATAGTTCCCATGGTCCTTTAACTTCAATTTCGTTAGGACAAATGGTCATGCGTCAATTTTATTATCTTTTCCGTAAAATGCAAGGGCCAAATGATTTTTTATATTATTTTTATTAATTTCCAATATCTGAATATTCCTTTCACCTAAAAAAATAAAAATAAAAACTAAAAAACCTTCTTCCTATCATTGTCATAGTAGCCATAACCTCTCCAACCCAACCCCGCCTATGTACCCTAGGAGTGAAGCAATTTTCGATTTTTACCCTCAACAATACACCATGTGCCATGCACATGCTCAAATTTAACAAAAAAAAAGCTAATAAAATTGATAGTACGACTATTTGCATAGCTGGCCTGGCCCAGGGCGACACACATAGCCCAAATTTGAGAGAGGCACACAAATCTTTTATAGCCCATATATGTTGACCCAAAAAATGCTAAATAATTGCAAACTTAAAATAAATACAAAAGTACCAACATGAGTTGGTCCAAGTGGAAGGGGCTTGGATCCTTTAAACAAGAGGTCCTGGGTTCGATCCCAGGCACTTGCGAATAGAGCAGACTCTGTTGGGAGAGGTCCCCGCTTTGCGCCTGACCGTACCTCGAGGGAGTTAGTCTTCGCAGTCGCGCGGGGATACCCTGGGAAACCTTAAAAAAAAAAATTACAAAAGTAAAGACTCATTCTTCCCAAGGAGCGCATCAGCTTGCTAATGGAGCATGAATGTCTTCTTTTTTTTTTTTTTTGGTAACAAGAGGGGCTAAAAGCCCAGAACAAACAGACTACACACGCACAGCACGGGACCTAGACATCCCACTAGCATCCTCAGCCAAACAAGACACCATAAAGGTAGGCACCTCAGTAAAATACTGCACCCTAGGGCCAAACGCAGAACTCTTAGACGCCAAAGCATCCGCCGCCACATTCTGCTCTCTGAAGATATGCTTAATTGAACATCTCCAATCAGCTTGCACCTTAATCTTGCAACAACTAATAAGGCTAAACAAAGGGTGGGTGGAAATAATAGAGCTAGAAATAAGAGCCACAGCCACACTTGAGTCACTTTCCACCTCCACAACACGAAAGTCAGACTCCCAAGCCAACTGAAGCCCCCAAAAAATGCCCCACAACTCAGCTTCAAGAACAGAACCAACACCCAGGTTCACAGAGAAGCCCTTAATCCAAGCACCATCATTATCTCTTAAAAGACCACCAGCACCAATAAACCCAGACTCACTATTACGACTTCCATCAGTGTTAATTTTACAAACACCATAAGTAGGAGCTTTCCACTGAAGTTGAATCACAGATGGCATATACGAAGGGGAAGGAGGTTTGGTAGCATTAAACCACTCCAAAGCATACTGAAGAATTAAATGATGTGGATCACCAGGCATAATAAACCTTTGCTCAAAAATTCCTTTACATCTCCATTTCCATATAAACCACAAATAAAGAGCAAAAACCAGAGGCCAAGGCACCCCATTATAAACCTGTCTTTTAGACTGAAGATTCCTTAACAGCCACTCTTTAAAATCTATCATGTCGGGTCTAGTATTATCTCCAAATTGAAGACAATTCCAAATAGCCAAAGAGAAAGGACAATCCTTAAACAAATGAGCAATAGTTTCCATAGGGTAATCACATATAGGACAAGTAGGAACCTGAGTGAGACCTCTCTTATGCCTTTGCACATTAGTCAGCAACTTTTGATGACAAACAATCCAAAGAAAAGCTTTGACCTTAGGAGGGAGCTGCAACCTCCAAAGAAACTGCCAATCCCATTTAACTGAAGCCTCAGCAGGTAAAAAGGAACTATAAGCTGAATTAACAGAGAAAGAACCATTAGGCGTGAACTGCCAAATATATCTATCAGCCCCACTGCCATTAAAACCAGCATGAATACTTAAGATTAACTGGACAATATGAAGAGGGAGACATTCCCTTAAGCAGTCAAAGTCCCAGACCCCCTCATCCAAAAAATCACCAACATTCAACTGAAGCATTTCCTCAGAGAGATTAATGAGAGAATATTGATATAAAGGACCACAACTCAGCCACCTATCAGTCCAAAACAACACATTATCCCCTGTACCTACTCTCCACTTAACACCTTTGGAAAGGACAACATTACCATATAAAACACCCCTCCAGACACTAGAGCTACAAGGAAAATAAGAGTCCTTCATAGTTAAAATGCTCTGGTGTTTTAGATACTTAGCATAGAAAACCTGAGACCACAAGCCTTGCTCATGTTGAAGAAGTCTCCATCCAGTCTTCGCCAAAAGAGCTTTGTTCATCCAAGCAGACCTTTTAATGCCTAAACCACCAACAACCTTAGGTTTACACACTTGCTCCCAGTTGACAAGATGGATTTTAGAAGTATTACTAGTATGACCCCAAAGAAAATTCCTGTTGAGCTGATCCAATTTATCACAGACAGATATAGGCAACATGGCAGTTTGCATAGTATAGATAGGAATTGCAGCAGTAACAGATTGAAGCAAAGTGATTCTACCAGCCATAGATAACGTATGGCTCTTCCAAGAGGCTAATCTCTTCTGAACTTTAGCAATAACCTCTTGATACGTATGTTTATTAACTCTAGTATGGATAAGAGGGACACCAAGGTACTTACCAAGGCTAGTAGTGAGAGGAGAACCACTTATCGTAGCAATTGAATTAGCCAAATTAGAGCACGTATTAGGGGAAACACATATCATAGACTTTTCAAAACTAACTCGCTGGCCGGACAACTGACAGAAATCATCCAAACATTGTTTCATCAACCAAGCTTGATCAATAGTAGCTTCCCCAAAAAGGATTAAATCATCAGCAAAGAATAAATGAGAAATATGGGGACCTCCTTGACAAATCTTAATAGATTTCCAAGCTTTATCCTGAATCTTTTGCTGAATGAGATGAGAGAGTTTTTCCATACACAACACAAAAATATAAGGGGAGAGAGGGTCCCCCTGCCTAATACCACACTGAGGAGAGAACGAGTCAGTGAGCTCCCCATTAAGAATGGCCTTGTATTGCACAGTAGTAATACACTGCATAATCAACTCCAAAATGCTTCCTCTAATGCCCACTTCCCAGAGCACCTCCCTAATAAAAGGCCATTGCAAACCATCATAAGCTTTGGATAAGTCAATTTTCCAAGCTATAAAACCCTTCTTCCCTTTGGCAGATTTAAACTTGTGGAGCACTTCTTGAGCAACAATAATGTTATCCGTAATTTGTCTCCCTGGGACAAAACTAACTTGACTAGGGCTGACAAGCTTAGTCATACACGACCTAAGTCTAGCCACAAGGATTTTAGAGACCACTTTATAAAGAGTGTTGCAAAGGCTAATAGGCCTAAGCTGATTCATAAACGTAGGCCTCTCCACTTTAGGCACCAAAGCAATCAGAGTCTCATTCAAATGATCAGGAAGGGTGGCGGTATTAAAGCAATCCTTAACAAAGGAGATGATATCATCAGAGCAAACCCCCCAATAATCTTGGTAAAACAGAGCTGGAAAACCATCAGGTCCTGGGGTTTTTAATCTCCCAATCGCAAACACACTATTCTTGATCTCTTCAATAGAAACAGGACAACTGAGACCTTCAAGCTCAGCCTCTTCAAGGTTAGGAAACAACTGAGGAAGCAAAGCATAGTCACCAACCATATCAGAAGCACAAAACAACCCTTGAAAATAATGCACAATAATATGTTTCATGCTCTGTTTCTCAGTAATCCAATCCCCTAACTCATTATGTAACCCTTCCAACTTATTCCTTCTTCGTCTAACAATTGTAGACAGATGGAAGAACCGAGTATTCCTATCCCCTTCTTTAAGCCAGGAATTCCTGGACTTTTGCAGCCAAAAAGTCTCTTCTTGATCTAGAAGTAAATTGTAATCTCTAGTAAGCTCAACCTCAAGCTCACTAAGGAAAGGATTATGCTCATGGCAAAGCTTCTTTTGAATTCCTGCAAGTCTAGCTAACAGACCCCTTTTCTTTGCAAATAAACACCCAAAAACCTGCTGATTCCAAATACCAAGCGGAGCCACAAGACTAGCTGTTCTGTGCACAGCATTACCATCACCAGAGCTCCAAAGGTTCTTGACAAATTCCTTAAAATCAGGATGAGACATCCACATAGCTTGAAAGCGAAAAGGTACATTTGCTTTATTAGGATAATGCTTGGAGTCAAGGCGCACCAAAATAGGACAGTGATCCGAGTTCACCCTAGGAAGATGCATGAGGTGAGCCTCTGGAAACAAAAGACGCCAATCAATACTACAGAGGCCCCTATCAAGCCTCTTCCAAATAATTCCTTCAGCATTCCGTTTATTACACCAAGTAAACTTTGCCCCAGAGAAACCCAGGTCAACCAAATGGTTACGATCAATCCACTCAACAAACTTTTTACCACCATGGTCTAAATTACCCCCACATTTCTCATCCACACTCATAATATCATTAAAATCGCCTAGAACAAGCCAAGGCGGATTAGAAGCTTCAATAAGACCATCAAAGTACTTCCATAAAGCCTCTCGAATCCCAGGGCAAGGGTTTCCATAAACCACAGTGAGGAGCCACGTATGATTCCTCAAAGACACTAAAGCAGTGATAGATTGGCTAGAGTGAGCAACAACTTGAAGAGATACCGAGTTCCCATTCCACAATAACCAAACACCCCCAGAAAAACCAGAAGCATCAACAATATGGTAATGAGAAAAACCCAAACTCTGGGCAACGCTGAGAGCCCTAGGGCCACTTATACGAGGCTCGAGAATAGCAAAAACATCAATGGCATAAGCCTTTTTTAGATCCTTAATAGTACTAGCACACCTATCTTTACCAGCACCTCGAACATTCCAAGCAATAATATTCATCATAAAAAGATAATAAAGAGGGATAATATTAGGCACAAACCTAAATCTGCACATGCTCAGCCTCAACGGCTTCAAAACCATCATTCTCAAAAGAGCTATCAGCTTCCAGTCCAGCATCAGACTCACAATGTTCAGAGAAATTACCTTGATGATCCATATCACTCGGATTAGAAGGCTCAACCTCATTAATTCCCATCTCACTGATATCAGGAGGTTCAGGACCAAAAAATAACCCTCCCTTACCCAAAGGTAACTTTGGAAAAAGAGAGCCACCCAAATTAAAAGAAAACTTTCCCCGAACATCATCTTGAACATCAGAGCCATTGACTTGCAGCCCCACAGGTTCAATATCATGACAAGGAAAAGGTTTAGCCCCAGCTCTGTTCATCCAAGGCCTCCGTAAAACAGAACCACTTTTAACACCACCACCACCAGAAGTAGCTACCACAGAATTGGTAATGTCCTTAAGAGGTTTTTTAAACACCCATGTGCCAGAGTCACGAGAGGAAGAGGATTTCACCCCAGCCCCTTTTACCTTAGCAGAAGAACCCTGTCTTTTAGAACTAGAGCCACTATTCTTCACAGGAGTAGAACCATCCACATCCTCTTTTCTGCCAACTTCCTCATTCAACACATTAAAACGAGACCCAAAGATAGGACTAACAGCTTTATTACCAGCATCCTTTGTATTCCTCTTGCTAAGCTCAGCACCCTTCCCTATATCATTCATGCTCTTCTTCCTAAAATTCCTTGGCTTCATCAACATCCATTCTCCGTGCATCTTTGCTGAAACCTCAGCCTCCTTTGTAGCAACATCTGCATTCACATCAACCTGGACAGTAGAAATATCCTCCATACCATCAGCATTATCTAACTCTGGAACCTGTTGTTTGGCTTGCAAAATAATAGGGCAAGTGTCTCTACCATGCCCAAAACACCCACATTCAAAGCAAACCAAATTAATTCCCTCATACACTACCCCATAAGTACGGCCCTCAATCTCAATGAATGGAGTAAGAGGCTTAGCCAAATCAAGCTCAACACAAATTCGAGCAAACTTACCACGAGCTTGGCTGAGAGTATGAGCATCCACCTTGACCGTAACCCCAACCAGATTTCCAATTTTTTCCATAACATCAGCACGAAAATATTCAACGTTCAGCCCATTAATTCGAACCCAAGCAGTCATATGGGTGATCTTCTCCTCCTTCGCATTAAACCCAGGCTTCCATTTCTGTGTCACAATGTATTGGCCAGCAATTTGCCAAGGACCACCAGTGAGCACGTATCTCATATCTTCCTCATAAAGGAACTTTACAATGTAATAGTTATTCTCTAGATCTATTAAGCTCATAGGACCCTTAAGTGCCCATCTCTGAAGCAAACGATATCTGAGAAAGGTGTAAGCCAAAGGACGACCCATGAGCTTGATAATAACAGCATGAATGTCTTTTGACTTTCTTTATGAAACTGTTTACAATTTAATACTTATTCATCTCCCTCTCTTATTGTTCTTTTGTGTTATCTTTCTAGGATTTTCGCATCTTTTTCTGGTTTTCACCTTCTCTCTCTCTCTCTCTCTCTCCAAATATAGATCCGAGGTTAGATCTTAGTAGCAGATTGTGTGATTATCGTTGCTTTAATTAGGGTTTTCTTTTCCTTGCAAGTTTGAGATCTTTAACCTTGTTTATTTTTTGTTTGTATTCGAATTTTGTTTATTTTTAATTACTTCCATGGCAGTTGTCTCCATTGGAAATGATTTATTCTTTTTCGATGACTACCATCTATGGTGCACAAATTATATTTCATATTATGCACAAATGATTCAATCCTTTTATTTGGCTTTATAAAATGGTTATTATTATGTTATTGTGTCTTTTGAATATCATTTGTACTTTTTAGATTTGCGGTGTATAATTTTGGCTGTAAATGGAGGATTTTGTAGATATTGTGTAGTTGATTGAAGAAAATGACTTATTACCGAAAATTATAATCTTAGTGATTAATTTTTCTATGAAGGGCACACTCTAGACTTTTGTCTTGGGCCTTAAATCAGTCATGATTGGCTCTTACTATTTGTCATAACTAAACTCAAGTTAAAGAACCACGAGAATGATTTTGAAAATTGATGAACCAAAATACGAATTGTGTCTAAATTTAAAGACCATAGATAGAACCTAAAAATCCATAATTAGACATAATAGTTTGAAGTGAAACAAAGAAAAGAGACATATACAAACAAAAAGGTCCACTTGGAATTGGCAGCAAGTGGAGCTTCAAACGAGACGAGACGAGACGCACCCTCTTATCTTTTAGGCTTCATATTATCACATTCACACGTACGCATATACGTAATAACTGATAGTATGAGTCAGTCCCCTTGTTCAATTGTTGGAAACAAAGAAAAAGAAAACTAATAGAGAAAAGAATAGTATATAATATTAATAATAGTATTAATGCATTATGCATGCTCTTCAAAATAAATTTGTGATATTATCGGGATTTGTGTGGATTGTTCATTAGTCAGATATATATATTTTTTATAAATATCTATAATAAATAAAAGACTATAAAATCATAAAAGTAACAAGTCTTTTGCTATTTAATCTTAGGATACTTTTGTTAATGATGTCATTGTCAACTTTTGTTGGGCACCGCCAGCCTGTGTCCATAAGATTTAGATTTGGATGTTACTTTTGTCTTGTGCCTGAGATTTTGATGGTACGATACGAGACGAGACGAGACGACCCGAGGCTTATTGAGTACAAGTTGTGTTGTTGTTGAGCAATCCTTTTGGCAAATCCTATCTAAAATTTAGACGTCGGTCCGCCGGACGGATGTCAAGCTCCTAAATTACCATAATACCCTTTACGACATAGAAAGAAAGAAAGAAAGAAAGAAGGACAATTCAACATAGAACAGGGAGAAACAGAGGTTTTGTTAGTGAAGAAAGAAAGAGAAAGAGAACGCAAGCAAGCAATGAGAAGGAAAAGAAAGCTGCAGCTCAACATCACTCCTCCTTAGATAGAGATCTTTCCCCTGCGGCCCCTGCCACTCCCTCCCTCCCTCCCTCCACCTCTCTCTCTTTTTCTATTCTCTGCCTCTCTACATATCTGTATATATATATATATATATATTACTATACATACATACATACATGCTTATCAAACAAGAGCTGGCTGAGGCGGGTCACTGAGTCAGCTCGGCCGAGTTATGGGGTGCTGTGAGTCGTCGTTTATACAACGACGTCAGCACCAGTATCTGCACCACCGCAACACTACCGCCACCGACAACAACCAGGCTCCTCAAGCCTCCAACGGAACCGAGTCCGCCGGAGCCGTACTGGGATTCTCGGAGTTCTCGCTGGCCGACTTGAAAAACGCCACCAATAACTTCAGCTCCGACTTCATCGTCTCCGAGAGCGGCGACAAAGCCCCCAATGTCGTCTACAAGGGCCGTCTCCAGAACCAAAATAGTCCTAGTTGGATCGCCATCAAGAAATTTACCAAATTGGCCTGGCCTGACCCTAAGCAATTCGCCGTATGCTCACTCTCTCTCTCTCTCTCTCTCTCTCTCTTATTTTTCTCCCTCCATTTGCAATTTCTTAGGCTTGCCATTTCCAATTTAATTGGATTTCTTTTCTTCTTTTTTGGGTTTGGGGGTTCAGGATGAAGCTTGGGGTGTTGGGAAGCTCAGGCACAAAAGGCTTGCCAATTTGATCGGGTATTGCTGCGACGGCGACGAGAGGCTGCTGGTGGCCGAGTACATGCCCAATGATACCCTTGCCAAACATCTATTCCACTGTATGCTTTTAAAACAAGGAAAAAATAAAATTCTTTTAACAGTTTGATTTATAACTCTTTCTCCTATTCTTCAATGATTTTGTTTGAATCCTTTCCTCACCATCAACTCAATTCTTGGCTTTTCTTTTCTGCACGAGAAATCAAATCGGTTTGACTAATTGCCTGAAATGTGAGGAGGAAAGGAACGCCCTTTTGAGTTTTTTTTACTATATTTTAAAGTTGCTTGCATTTCAGCGAGTTAGTAGAATTTAGAATTCAGCTATAGGGACTATTCAGCTGAGAAAATAGGAATACCATTGGTTGTATGTATTGTAATTTGTATAGAATCAATATTTGATGTGAAAATCCATGCAAACTTTTATTTGCAATTTAGGTTTGTTGTCAGTCTTGCAAATATATATAACTTTCTCCTCTTTTCCATAGATATTGATTTATTGGGGCATCCTGGCTTTTGAGAGCGCATATGTTCTGTGTGTTATTTCCATTTCAAATTATGATTTCCATTTCGTTTTTGACCTCTCAAATTTATTGACTAGAGGTTTTCAAAGTATTTCGAATATAAAATTCCCTTCACACTTTCTTGACAGGGGAGAATCAGACCATTGAGTGGGCCATGCGGCTAAGGGTTGCTCTATACATTGCTGAAGCATTGGATTATTGCAGTGGTGAAGGCCGCTCATTGTATCATGACTTAAATGCATATAGGGTTCTCTTTGATGAGGTGCTGTCTCAAATCTTATCCCAATTTTGAGGATTTAGTTTTTCAGTATTTACGAGAAGTAAAATAATGTCATCGCATATCTTTTTATATTTTGTTTTTTTAATGAGTAGACATTTCCTTTTGTGTTAAAAGATGTCATCCCAAGAATACATGGATTTACATGAGATCAAAGTGGTAATTTTGTGGATGGTCTTGGCAGAATGGTGATCCTCGGCTTTCTTGTTTTGGGTTGATGAAAAACAGTAGGGATGGAAAAAGTTACAGCACTAATCTTGCGTATACACCCCCTGAATATCTAAGAAATGGTAGCTGCTTATCTTCCTTCTTATTATCTATTAGAATTTTTTGAGATACTCTTTTCGTTGTATGAGATAAATCTGAATCATTAAGAAAGTTTCATTTTTGAACACATGTGTCTGTAACAGTTTGGATATAATATAAAATGATTTGAGTGCAATATTCTTAGTCAATGTATGCTTAAGATATTTATGCTATTGTTTGGGAGGAATGCTTTTATTTAAATTGGTATGTCTTAAGGTTGTCGTAAGAGTTGGCAGAATGACGTTACTAAGTTTTATGCTGATAAGAATTAAGAAGATTGAGATCCAATTGGAAGATTTTTTAAACTTCCATGCCAATAAATACATAATTGAAACTGCTATTATGATATTTATTTATGTATGTGGCGTTAACATGTTAGTGTACTCATCGATAACTGAGTTTGATGTTTCTGTAGTATGTAAGGTTTCTGATTGTGTTAGCAGACATAAGGCTGTTTTTAAATAAAAATAGTAATGTGAGATACCTTGAGAAGGTAAACTGAACACATAGTGAGGCAATGAGTAAGACTATTGGAAGCAGGTAAGCCTTGGTCATTGTTTTGAAAGTTTTGTGAAATGCCCTTGCCAGTTTGTGTAAGAAATATTTTGCTTCATAACTTGACATGATATAATGTGATAATTTTCAGCGCTTGGAGATTATGTTTTATGAAGAGTCCTTCTTGGCTTTATGAATTGCTTTTGACTTCCCTACCAACTATAATATGTGTATGCTGCAGGAAGGGTGACTCCGGAAAGTGTTATCTTCAGCTTTGGGACTGTCCTTTTGGATCTTCTCAGTGGGAAACACATCCCTCCTACTCATGTAAGTATTTTACCATGTCATGCCCTTGTTCTCCACCTTTTGGATCTTCTCAGTGGGAAACACATCCCTCCTACTAATGTGAGTATTTTAACATGTCATGCCCTTGTTCTCCACTCAGTCAGTTTGGAATGGACCCATGGTCTGTAAAAATTAAAGTGCAGTGCTTCTGCCAATGAGTTATGCGGAAGTCCATACGCTGTATGGTAAATTGGTAATAGAGGAGTTGTTTGTTCAAATGCCTCTTACTAGGTAGTCTTTAGTACTCGGCAATAAGGGGCCCCTTGTAATCCCCGAGGTGGGGTAGTAAATAGAGTTGAATGTACTCATTGATGGACACATAAGCTGGCTTTTCTTATAGCCATTATGTTTTATGCACTGCGATATATGTTTGTTATATGATATTAAGTTTGTTCTAGTTAAAGTAATAGGTTGAAATTCATCATGCTTGACACTGATTTTGAAGAGCAGTTTGCACCAGGGATTTTATTCTTCCGGTTTCCATGTCTGGATGATCTTTTAGTTTTTAATACATAATTATGTAGGCTGACTTTGGATTACAGAATCTCCTTATAATTTATGTTTGTGTTGCAGGCTCTTGATATGATTCGTGGCAAAAACATTATTCTCTTAATGGATTCACACCTGGAGGGAAATTTTTCCACTGAACAAGCGACTGTGGTTTTTGATCTTGCTTCACGATGTTTGCAATATGAACCCAGGGAGCGGCCAAATACCAAAGACCTTGTTGCAACAGTT